ATTATGCAGCTCACCCTGGTTTGAAACCAATGCACACAGAGAAGTTTGGGGCTTTTGTGTACATATGTGTATTTTGTTGTTTTTTTCCTTGTTAGTATGCTATAATAATACTCAAGAGTTCTTCACAGGATTCAAATCACAATAGAGCACACACTGTTGTGACTTAAAAATGCGATGCAAGAAGTATTTCTGTTACTTGTTATACGTAGTACCACGTGTTTCACTAATACAGCAAAGTAAAGAGAGTTTTGTTCTTTAAAAAAAAAAAATTTTACATATATATATAAAAGACCACTGGTGTGGTAGTGTTAGCTTTATTTTAGGAGCAGATGGGAATTTTTCAAAATGTGCTTTCAGTGAAGGAGAAATTGATGCACGATCAAAAAAGTTTTTGCAGTACACACAGAACATTCCTTGGGAAGTTGACCAAAATGAATTGAGCAAATCAATATTGCTTTTGGAGCTTTAACCAAAATCCTTCATATTTTTTTCCAGTTTGGAATGTATTGCAGATAGAAAAAGAAAGGCAAAATTACATACTTGCAACTGCTCCACACAAAATAAATTTCATCACAGACGCAACAGTTCAGCCCTATTTTTCAGACTGAACAGCGTGCAACCGCTAACAGGTATGTGAAAAGTAAGATGAACATTGCCCTCTGGTGACTGCCATTATTACATACGTGCAAAACCTTTTCTCTATATAAAATAAGATCTTATTCTTAAGCTAATTTTATTTTATTTCAAGTCTTGAGTTGTACTTCTGAAGCTTTACTAATTTATCAGAAAGACTTCTGGTTGTTTTGCTGTTAGAAAGCTCAGATTTCAAGAAAGAAAATATTAGACTGATACTGCAAATCATACATACTGAAAAGAAAATGTCAAAATATGATGAAAAGGATATATTTATCTAGCATGACTTATCTTAGCTCCAAGCATAGCCAGAGTAGTGTCAAGGATCTGTCCCCTATGATCTTAAGAAATTCAACTGGTGGGGTTTTTTCCCCTAGAAGGTGCATGTAACTTGACTTTGTGGCCCATCTGCTTACTTCGCCACATGGATTTATTTATTAAATTCAAAGCTTGATAAAAGACTTACTAAAAAAAAAAAAAAGCAGGAAGAATTAATATATACTACTCAATATGCCAAAGGAAAAACAAAATTCCAAGGTGCTTCAGTTACTGTAGATTGAGTCTTCTCAGCTCTAAGGACTAAAGTAAAAGAATTTCCATGAGGTAAGCGCTCTTACAAACTTACAGCTTTTGTAATGCTGAGTATAGCGGACAGCAACAAGAATTCAATGGCATTTTAACAACGTGAAAAGCTACAGATATTTTTCATATTCTTTACCACATCAGAAACATTTCTGCACTGGGGATTATACCTGCAAAATTAGATGCAACTTAAGTGTGAAGATGACTTTGTGTCACCAATTCCAGTGCTAACTAATAAAGGCAAGTATATCATATAATAACTTTCATGGCTTTCTTAAACTATCTTAAGGACAGAATAAATTCTGCAAAAACCAGACAGTTTCACTCAATAGTTTTCTGAAGTCACTAATTCAAAGCAATTCCCTTCACCAATGAACACCTGAAAAAATACATGTCATTTAAAAACAAAAATACCTTTATAACAGAAATACATACCAGCATACAGCACTTATTTGGCTTAGTCTGATCAACAAAGCAAGCTGGCCATAATTACCATATGCTCTGACATAACAGTGGTCTCTGATCTCACAGCCACCTCTGCGAGAGGGTATGATGGGTTTCAGACTTCAGTAGGAATTGTCTTCACTTGAAACTCACAGCTGGCTCAGGACCTTTTGTGAACCAAGGACTTCTACATTTCACTGTTTTCTCCCTGCATACCTTGTCCACAGTCTAGTAATAACACCATCTGAAGAAAAACTTCCTTAATCATTCTACACACAGAAAAATGTTGGAAAAGACTGTCCGAGAATAATGAGAATGTATTTTAAGAACTACTAAATAAGATATTAAGCTGTACATTCCCTACAATTTTAAAAGCTTTCAGCGTATAAAATTCTATTTGGCCCTCAGCACACTCAATGTACACAGCCACGAGAACTCTGAAGAATGAGGAATGAAATAGCTCCCACTACTCAGCACTTGTCAGGCTGTGCCTGGAGTCCTGTGTCCAGTTCTGGTCCCCACAATTCAAGGAGGACATGGATAGATTGGAGAGGGTCCAAAGAAGGGCCATGAAGATGTTCAAAGGCCTGGAGAACCTGCCCAATGAGGAAATACTGACGGCATTAGGTCTTTTCTCCCTAGGGAAGAGAAAGCTCAGAGGGCAACTCATCATAGTATTCCAGTACTTAAAAGGCAGTTACAAAGAGGACAGAGGCTTTCTCTTTACAAGGAGCCACATGGAGAAGACAAGGGGTAATAGGTACAAGTTGCACTCTGAGAGGTTTCATCTCAACATAAGAAAGAGTTTTTTTACAGTGAGCACAATCATTCAGTGGAACAACTTCCCCAGGGATGTGGTAAAGTCCCCATCGTTGGAGGTTTTCAAGATGTGATTAGACAGGGGGCTAGATAATCTCATCCTGGCTCCCTTTCCCACAAATGGTTGGACCAGATGATCTTTTGAGGTACCTTCCAACCTGGGCTGTTCTAGGATTCTGAGATTCTAAAATCATATCTAAATTTTAAAGGGTCCTAATGAACTTGAAAGCTAATCTTAGTATACAACTTATATTCTGTCAAAGTACATCTTAAGGAAAGAGTAAGTTTCCTGAGAGGTCCAAAGGACAGAGTATGTGGTCTTTGCTGTGAAGTTTATATGTCATCAGAAGACACAGAAGCTGACAGCTATTCCAACAGGAATGATATTATTGTTTTTGTCAGCCAAACAAAATTGTTAGGTAAGCATGGAAGCTGCATGTTTAATAGTAAACATTGTTCAAATTAATTCAATTCTTGTCTACAGAACTGCAAAGAAAATAGAAACAATATTGCAAAGTTTTTTTATTTCACCACATTTTTGAATACTGCTACACACCTATTTGTATCAACCCATTTCGGCTCCAGTCTGACAACTAGATACAAACACTAGTTGTTGCAGATCTTTTTTCACGCCCAAGAAATTCTTCACAAATAAGACATGGAACAGTTTGATTCCTATTCAACCACAGTCCAATTTCATATCTACAAAGTTCCACAGTTGCAAAGTAGTAATGGCTAGAATGCTTTAAGGTACAGGCAGGTTTTCTCCAGACTTCCCTGTATTATTTAGTTTGCAGCAAATTTTTCTATCCCGCAAAAAGTAAGTTTTAATACAACTTGTTGGAAATAAACTGGCATGCTATTCCTTTGAGGAATTTCTGTGATACCTAATCTTCTATTTCGGGTCTACAGAATGGGTCATTAAAAATTAAAAATTTATAGTAGTTCATAAACCCAGTCCTCCAATAAAATTAGAAATTCATTTAAGATTTTTCTCCATACAAGAGAAAGGACAATGAGCTAAACCACAAATTACACAAGGGCCCTACTATTTCTTTTTAGCCAAAACCAGTAATAGAGTCACTATGTGTGTATAAATATTAAATCTAGTAAGAAAAGCTAATCTCCTAATAACATTATTGCACCAAATAAAGGGCCACCACAGCTATATGCTTAGACTTTGTCTTTTTCATGACAGTAGTGCCTTCAGCTCTTATTTCCTTAACTTACCTTTTTCACCCCCGTTATATCTCCATTGCCTTAACTATTTTATCCAGCAGACTTGTTTCTTTCGGGATGAGCAACATTACAAGCTGCATCGTACTCACTCAAAGAACCCTGCTTCCTAACCTGTGACCGAGACCTACAAGCGCAAATTGTCTTCTGCAGACATAATTCACACCCTTTCCCTTTGTAACCACTGTTTATGCCTGAATTATTAGAATTCAGAGAAATCTGATTAATAAAAATTATATTAAAATTCATTGCTTAAAAAAAGACTCCATGAAATAGCAGGTAGCAGTAAGTGCTTTTTTCCCCCTCCTAAAAATAAATAAGTAAAATAAAAACCATATGGGAAGGGATAAATTGTGCACTGCAGGTATAAGAAAACTACTTCAGAAATTGATTATTTAATCATTCTCCTTACTATGAAGAAGTGCAAAATCTGAACAACATTTACCAGTGACATCACTAATACAGCTATTTACCATTACTATCACCAGACTATTGATGATGCATGAAACTAGAATATTTTATCAAATGAAGAAAGGAAGAGAATTACTACATTTATCTTTCCACTCAAGCAGCACTGATCACTCTAGAAGCTTACTATGCATAGTAAGTTTTCTAAAAGAAAAAAGAAAAGCAAGCAAATGAACTCCAGCCACTAAAAATTCAGAATAACATAGATCAGATAGAGACAAGCAGCTTCTAAGGGCAACTCTAGCAGAAGCTTTTGATGTGTTTATAATACCTTCTAAATGTACGTACAGGAAAAAACTCACACAAAGTTGTGAAAGTGTCAAAATAGCACAGTACAGCATACTGTTTTGTGTCATTGTGGTGGTAAATGCAAATAAGTGTATACATGACAAGTACACTCACAGCAGCCATGACATGCAAAAATTACAGAAGTCACAAGCAAGATGCACTATATACATTGTCAGTGACAGAACTTAATTTATACACCAAAACTATTTCTAAGCATGCATGCATACTGGCTAGCAGTTTGGATATAAACACATTTTGCTGTAAAGGATATTACAATGAAAACATAGTAAGTCAACAAATACATACACATGACAATAGTTTTCAGAAATATGTTTGAGATGATGGCCATAAAAATCTACACTAGTTATTAATGTTCTTCAGTACTAACTCAATTAAACTAATTTAAAGTGACAGAAAAAGGCAGAAAACCATACAACATTGTGATAAAGACAATGTATACATCACTTTGAATTGACTTCAGGTTTTAAATCAAATAGGATATACCTGTGATCAAATCCCAAGTACTGTTGCTGAACACTGTTTGATGCTCCTACCATTTCTGCACTAACTATATTTACTTAGCTGATCTGATAAAAGGACACTTACAGGAAATATACCTGAAAAATCTGTAGCCAGCAGTGAAAACAAGAAACCACCAAGACAACTACAAGATACAGCTTAATCTCCACAGTACAGAACAGTTAAGAAAGGAACAAATTCCAAACAACTAGCTGGGGAAAAAAACGGCTCCTGAAATTACCCAGCTTGCTTTAAAGATTATCAAACACACATACATTTGTATACAAATTTGTAAAATCCCTTTCAGGACTATAGGTCTTATTTGGTCCAGAGACCTTCAAATACATTGTCTCTGTATCCACTCAGAATACCACTTACTCTCTGCTATATTATAAAACCATGCAAATTCTTATTCCTGAGAAGGAATAAAAGAGTAATTAGTCACTCATCTTTTTTCTGTTACTCCTTCTCTCCTACCTTTTCAAGATATTCAATTGTCCTGTCCAGAAGTATCATATCTTGCTAGCAGGCATGCCACACAGCTTATTTTAGTGACAGGAAGAACACATGCTTTATATCCTCCTCATTAAGATATTTGGTCTACTCTGCATTCACAATAAATCCAGCACTTCTAGGGAGTACCAGGTATACTACACATACAGAATTACACAGTACAGGGATAAGTATCTCTTCACTTTCTAGAGCAGAAGGCAGTCAATGGCTTGCAATCCCTGAAAAGACAATTAATACAGCTTACTCAAACTCCCTCTCTCTTCCTTAGGGCAATTAAAAAATAAGCTGTGAGCCCAGACTGCTTTTTCTAACAACAGTGGCCTATTCCTGACTGCTACTTATTGGCATTGATGTATGTGCAACTGTAAGGTAGTACAGACGTGGCCTTTTGGCCATGGCATATTATGTTACCTTTTTTGGAACTATTTTGGTGCCATACGTGCTAAGTCTTCTGTATCACATGGACAGATGTGATGCAAGCATGCAAGCAGTGTTCACAGATCTTTGTTGTGTGATCTGATTTATTTATGCCGATCTCATTTGATTACTAAGCAAACACCCACATCTAAATCACCCTTAAGAAAATGAGCAACTGGGTTAAAGCATCCATGGGGAAAGGCATTAGTTTTCTGCCTGTTTGACTTCCTGGTCTGGCTCACCACAGGATCCGGTGAGGACTATGGCCAATATCAGGGAAAGGCAAGCACAAAGTGAGAGGGTGGAGGGGGGAAATCTGTACCAAACTGCACTGAGTTTAAGAAATGTCATGGAGATTTTCAACACTCAACTGGAAAATGCTGTGATCAATCTGAGACAGCCCTGCTTTGAGCAAGAGGTTGGACTGGATGACTTTCTAAGGTACTTCCAAACTAAGTTCTTCAATGATTCTGAAAAGAAAAAACAAACCAACAAAACCACCCAAACCACTATGAGTGTTGTTTCATGACCCTTTTGCTATTTGGAGCTGGCAACATCAGATCAGTTACCTATCAAAAAATCAATTTAAAAGTGGTGATCATATTGCTATAACTGGTATTTTTAGCAGAACATCCAGGAGGATGAGGATCAGAGAACTATTATTTCAGAATTCTTAATTGCAATGGTTTCAGGAAAAGCATAAAATTCTAATCCCTGTAGTTGGACATTTTTTCACCTTAAAATGGCTATGCTTCTTCCTCCCGTTTTGTTTTGTCTGGATCCTATCTGAACACAAAACCAATAAGCAGAAACAGTCACTATATTCCATCAAGACTATGCTTTGCTCCTTAAAAACGTATTATATTTAGTGTCAGAAAAGACAGTTGCCAGTAAAAGTATTCTAATAAAAGTAAACTTCGTCCTTTACAATGCAAATTAAATGCCTTTTTTTTTGGTTAATTCTTCTTCCTCACCCAGCACTTCCGAAGGAAGTTAAAGATTAGGAATTGTTGTTTGCCATGGCCTTAAGAAAGTAAAGGTCTATACACTCAAACTCTCAAATCTGGATCATCTGTTTAACTACGCTGCCATGGGATTATCCTGACAACTTTGATACAATGAAGCAATTTATCTTACCATTGACGAACAGATCATGTATGTTCTGCCTGCTTTAAAATATTTTATACAACCCACTGCAATCACCAGTCTGCTTTTAGTGTGCTCCTACTGACAAGAAGTATGCATTCAGAATATGTTAGTCGTTTCTATCCATAAAATGCAACTTCTTTCAAGCCCTGTGTTGTATAATATATACCCTCTTAAAATTTGAATTGTCATTTATACATTTATCATCTCAATTTCCCTTTCAAGTTTTTAAAGAATAAAATAATTACTAGCAGTGATCTAGCTTATTACCAAAATATTCCCCCATTTGCAATATGATGCACAAGTTGCTGCCTTTTTCCATATTTTTATTTAACTCTGCAAACTTAGAAAATCATACTGGTAATTACAAGGGGAAGACTGAAACAACAATTTAGCTTTTTGATTTTCTCTATTTCTTATTTGAAGTAATTTTTTACTTGCAAATTCCATTTGCTGTAACCCATTTGTCAGCCTGTCAGGGCTTCTTCTCTGTACTGCCTGTCCTGAATAATAGACTGTGAAGCAAAAGAATGGGGGGGAGGCGGAATTCATAATGATTTTTGCTCAAACATCACCAAAGCTGGGGGAGAAGGAGAAACCAGAGCAATTTCCCTGCAGTGTTAAGTTGCTAAGTACCCATAATCACTCCAATAATCTTTGTCACAATGTGACAAACACTGTGTTCCTACCCCACTGTGTGATTTTTTTTTTTTCCTTCTCTGACAGAATGACAGCAGGTAGTAATTGTGCTACTCAAATGTCAGCCTACACACAATACTGTTCACAAAGCTTAGTTATGAATATTAAAAAGCAAAAGTATGAAAAGGAATAGATTGTCATATTACACATCTATATTTAGATTATTATGATGTCCTTCATAATACTCAAATAATTTCAGAAACTGTGCCCAGAAATGAGGAGAAGCTTCCAAAGTCCTTTTCTAGCGACTGTTACTGCTAAGGCACACTCTGTTCTTTTAGCAAAGCAGCTTCCTCTAGAACAATTAGAAAACGCAAACAGACATTTTCTTGAATTAGAACAACATCTGACTCCGGTACAAGAGCAGAATCAACAACTGACCTTTCCCAAAAGCAATTTAATCCAGATCCATTACACTCCAGCAGCAAAAAACAGCTTCACTGGAGGCGGGGGGTGGGGAACAGGAATGAAAGGACCTAAACACAGTATCTGGAAAAGCAGGCAACAAAAGCAGGGAAGGGAGAAAGAAAGGGAGCAGCACCACAGATATGCTCTCTATAGCTTCTGTTAAAGCAGAAAACACTACAATTGTCTTTCAGACTCAGACTCTTAGGACACGGCCTTATCATAAAGCAGAAAAGCAGACAGAGCTCAGCACCATGGCAACATCCACTTGCTTAATTACCAGCCGAGAAGGCTTCCAACAAGAACATGGGAAACATGTTTCAGAAAAAACATTTCGTTGACTTTTCCACAGTAATGCAAACAATCAGGAAGGCAACAGCAAAGGGACAGACACAAAGAAAGCCAACGCTTTCATTCAGCATCAAGGAGTTTCTACAGATGTACACTGCTTTCATATAAACAAATTCTCATGGCAAAAACATCACCAGTAAGGAAGTTAATTAACATACCTTTCAGTCGATGACTTAGAATCTGTTCCAGAATGGCTGCAAAATTATTAAATTCAGGGGAAGTATCATCTATAGTCTCAAAACAGGAACGGTCGATCAGAGTCTTGACTGAAAACCTAGAGCAAAAGTACAGGACAATCATAAATTATATGGATAGCTATTGGTCCTCTATAGCAGGACAGTAGTTTGTATAAACCAAACGAGCAAAGAACCAGAAAACCACCTTGATGATTTCAAGTTCAGTCAGAGCAACACAAACAAATACCACATCTAGAAATAGCCTGGAAATACAATCATCATTGTTGGTCTTAGGCATAAAGCCTTAGGGGGGGGGTGGGGGTGGGGGAAAATCCCCACACTTCCTATGTAGAAGTGAGCTAATTATTTTCTAATTATTTTCCTCATCTAAATTATTTTAATAAAGCTGTAGAAAAACAAGCACTCAAAAGCATCCAACATCGATTTCTCTTTGTAATCCTAAACATCATGATTTTTGCTTGACATTTCGCTCAATGCTCCTTTCATTCCCAAAATCCATGCCCAAGAATCAGAAGTATAAACTTTATCCTATTATGAGAACACTGTAATTTCATCCTAATGCAAGAATAATCCAAACATATTATAAAACAATGAATTTTTATGCACTGTTAACTCCGTGCATTAACTTGAACAGGCTGATTTCCTTGTGAATGGGGGTAATCCCTATTCAGCATTATATTACTTCATTATTATGCCAGAAAAGCTATCTATTTAAATGATCTAACATCTGAAATTGGAAAGGCTGAATCAAGCCATTGTAAAAAGCAGACAACATGTAACTAGTCAATTAGCCAATGTTAGCTGTGTTTAGTTACACCTGCACTTACACAATTTCATTCTTATTCAGAAAAAGATAGTTTAAACCTCAAGAAACATGACAAAAATTGATTTTTCTCTTGCCTTCTTCGTTTTAATCATAATCCATTTTTATTTTCCTTTCTGCTCGTTGTTTTTCAGTTTCAAGGCAAGTTTCATATGTCCTTTGAAGTAACATTTATTTTGAGGCATTTATTGTCATTTTTGCAACAATCCTTATTTGTATTAATGGAGCCATATTAGAGCCTGAGGCAATAGTTTTCACAACACCCAAACTTCAACAGTACCAGCTTAGGATGTTCTCACTCTGCCTGCTCATCCCAGACCCTATACCTGAGCACGCTGCTCCCTCAGTTGTGCCAGTTCTATTTTTTATGGGGCTTACTATGAACTGATATAGATTTTTAGTACTTGAGAGAAGGAGGGGTGCAATGACTCTTAAATATGGATATATTCATAATAAATACACTTCACAGCATCTCAACACAAACAGTTCTATGGCACAGCTGCAGAAGCAGCACACTATATAGGCATGGGCAGGAATGAGACTCCTTAAACCAGCAGTACTATTTTCTAATGCTCTGTACTGTAAAAGTAACTTAACCGCATCCTTAGTGGAGTCAGCACAGCCTCCTGATGCTCATTTACTAAATGAGACTAATTATGCTCAAAATGAACTGAGATATGTATTTCAAGAGTTTCAACTCAATTACATTATACTAAGTAAACTTCTGAATAAAGACTCCCCATCCTATCTTGCCTGCAGGCTTCTATTGTTGTAGTGTTTTTGGCAGGACACGAATTAGGAGTGAGAAGGGTGGGGGAGGAAGCTTCTTCTGCAGTGCCAAGTTATGACTCAGTTTTGAACTCCTCCACATTTTTAACCAATTTTGAGTAAGGGAGAGACATGCATGCCCACCAGTAAATTTCTATCTAGCCAGTATCATTGCTATTGACTACTCTAATGGCAGTAATGATTGTTTCCTCAAAGCTATATGAGAGCTGTGAAATTATCTTCAAAAAAACTTCTTAATTTTGAAAAACAAATGCATATAGCAATGCCATGACCAAGTCGGTATTAACTGTAACAAGAAGACTCCTCCCACAATGTGCAGATCTGAAAAAGAAAAGGTGCAGCCTATCACTCACACGTGGGTACATACACAAGAGAGACAGTGAGTTAGCAGTGTAATGTACTGGACTATATATAGGAATATCATTTTAAAACTTGGAGACACGATCATCCATAAACTGCAAAACAAAGTAGTGTATAATATGTAGCTATGTCTATTTTTCCTCTATTCAGTGTCTTAAAAGTTCACTGGTTAATATTGTATGGGATACATATTCAGAAATGGAGATATATTCAAGAAAAAACACTTAAGAGCAATTCACATACACTTCTAAAAATCACAGATAAGTAATTTCTTTTTTTAATTTTAAAGCATTCTGCAATTCAATTGAAGAAAAAAAAATTATATCTAGTTTTTAAGGATACAATAATTTTTAAATACCTAGGGTCTGATTAGAATCATAGAATCATAGAAT